TGAAGCCGAATAACCCGAAAGTTACAGGTAAAGTCAAAAGCTTTTACTTATATACTTTATCTTTCTGTTCTGTGCTTTCTACTGTCTTTTGCCGTCAGTCTATTGGACAAAACTCCACTGTCCCTTATCATTTGATCATCGGTATTATTTTAGGAGTAAAATGACTATAGATTCTCACCCCAAGATAAGTAATGGGAGACCATACACCGTAGTCACCAGAGCTTCAGCCAAACTAAGCAAACAGGTGAATAGTATGACACCTATATCCACAGTAGGCCTTGAAACAAACAGGAAGGCCAATAAGAAACGTTCACGACGTCGCAAGACGACGAAAACGTTCCCCAAGAAGGCAGACGATTGCAAGGTCTGCAATTCTATTGTCGAACAAGCAGACTCTGCTTTCGAATGTAACTTTTGTAAGCAATGGGTACATTGTAGATGTGACACCGGAGTACCAAAGGTATATTACGATTTTATGCGTAAGAACCCATGCCCATGGTTCTGGTACATTTGCCCAAGTTGCCGTCCTAATGCAGCCTCGTGTAGTTCCTCGAAAGCTACAGATGGCATAGAGATATCAGGAAAAAAAGTGAAACGTTTTACTCCCACCAACTCAGAAAATAGCACAATTGCATGTAAATGGGGGATACCAAAATCCACACCGGTTATACTTGCAATTCCTGCCATAACTGCCCCAGACACAGAGGTTGAAGCACCAAGGGTACCTGTCGCTGGGAAAAGACCCTTACCGTCCACCAGTAAAAGTGGCCACAGCACTGCGACACATAATAATACCCAGTTGCACCAGACGAAACAAAACGGTCTTAAGGGGGATGACAAATGTGCGAGGACCGAACCTAAATCCACGGTCAGTCGATCAAACTGCGTTATCCTCTTTAATGTACCAGACTGTAGCAGTAGTCTGCTGGAAAACAGGGCCCTGTCTGATCAGGAACAGTGGTCCAACTTATGTAGCACACTGGGTCTGGACATCCAACCAGTAAAACTGTGCAGATTGTATAAGGGCACTGCTGCTCCTCAAGGCAAACCATCCCCACTGAGGGTAACACTAGGCTCTGCCGAAGATGCCGAAAAAGTTTTATTGACTTCCCAAGTCCTTTCTATAGGGAGGACCTGCAATATACGTGTTAGGCCAGATAGGCCATGGAAGGAAAGACAGATGGCGAGGGAGTCGCCAGAGCTTATTCCTTCTGCCTCCATGGTTGTTCACGGCATTCCCGAACTGGAAACTGGGAACGCTTGTGAGAAGCACTGTCACGATGTCCAGCAATGGAGATGGTTGGCATCCCAGATGGGTCTGGGAAGTTCAGGGGCTGTCTCTATTTTTGGACTGCCTCGACCCACTCACCTAATGTCAATTAACACCCCACGTCTGTTAGCTGTTAAGTTTAGCTCCTGAGACCACTTGACTACTGCTCTCCAGAGATGGTACGAGACCAAAGACAAGGTCAGCAGCGCATTCGCTGCTGCGAGAGCCGGCCTCGTACCCAAAGGAGAGAGCAAAACGTTGTCATAGAACATCCCCAACCCCTAGTCACAATACAGCGGTGCAGCACGGACGATGATAGCCAGTGTCATCCAAGTGCTCCGATTGAATCAGAAGAAAAAAACGCCAACAGGCCGGTTCCCGGGGAATCGGCCAACTAGTTCGTAGGATAACTCCTCAACCGACAGCCCACATCACGTCAACCACCCCCCAATACGGGGACGTGGTGAGACTGACTACCAGTTGCCTGTACCGTAATGTGAGAGGTCTAAGAGGCAAAATAGCTGAACTTACATACCTACAATCACAGCTGAACTCCAAAATCATAATACTGACGGAAACCTGGCTAACCCCTACGGTGGCAGACAGCGAAGTCAGTATAAATGATATGGTCCTTGTCAGGCGAGATAGGGATCTGAAAGAAGGACGTGGAGTCTCCATATACGTCGACAAACAGCTCAGATATGTCCATGCAATCGACCCTCTCCTCATTGAGCTTCCTGACTCCATATGGTGCCACTTCACCGTTGGGTACTGTAAATATCTAGTGGGCAGCATTTACAGATCACCTTCATGTGGAGCAGACCACAACCAGGTACTGCTGAATGCAATTTCAGCGACACATGACATGGGTTATGATCAAATTGTCATAGCTGGGGACTTCAATGCCCCATCTCTTAACTTGATGACGGGATGTGCCCAGGACAGATTTGATCGAAATCTGCTGCATACCATCAAGGAGGCCGGATTCACCGAAAATGTCAGAATGGATACTAGATGGGGCCCAGATGGGAAGTCTTCTAGACTGGATTACGTGCTCACTAGTGACCAGATACTAGTGGAAAACGTTCAGATCACGACTCCCATAGGTAGTAGTGACCACGCGGTCATAACATTCGACATAGTCCTCCGCGAGCGTTTACAGTGGGACAATACACAGCCCTATCTGTGTTATAACAAAGCCAATTACACCGAAATGCGAAGAATTTTGTCTGAAGCAAATTGGCCAAAAAATTGGACAGAGTTTACAGTAGAAGAACACTGGAGAATGGTAAAGAACATCATTCACCAGGCGATCTCAGACACTGTTCCTTTGGTCACACCTAAAGCTAGAAAGCAACGTTCATGGCTAAAAAAGGGGGACACAACGCCTTCTACAGGCGAAGCGAAAAGCCTGGTTTGCGTGGCGAGTATCGCAGAGTCAACCCGAACATGAAGAGTACCTCGAACTCAGGAATCGGTGTAACATACGAGTCCGGAGTGATAGAAGGACATTTCAGAGAAACCTCGCCAATAAGCTTCTCGTGAACCCCAAAAGCCTATACAGGTTTATGTCTGAAAGAAAACCGACCAACCAGGGAGCTTGCAATATAGTGGGTTCTGATGGGAAATCTCTTACTAGTCTTGAAATGGCAGAGACATTCAGTCTAGCCTTTCACAGGCAACTGAACAGTAACGAGGATTTTACCCCCACAAAACATCAAGATTACAATGCAAGACCAACGTGCGAAAACCTGCTGGGTACATTTCAAATCACCCCGGCTATGGTACTCGTAAAATTGGGAAAGTTGGCTTCGGGAAAGTCTGCAGGTTGCGACGACATAAGACCATCCGTCCTGAAGCAGTGTTCAGAAAGTCTCTGCCAACCCCTAAGCGATCTGTTTTAAAACTCCTTTGATGTAGGGAAACTTCCATGTGAATGGAAACGAGCCATCCTATCCCCTATCTTCAAGGGTGGTGACCGGCAGAACGCGACCAGTTACAGACCAGTTGCGCTACTCCCAGTGATATCGAAGATATTGGAAAGTCTCATTGACGACCACATGAGAAAATACTTCGACGGGACTAACCTACTCCATGAAGCACAGCACGGTTTCAGGAGGGGAAGATCCTGTGTGACGAATCTTCTACTAGCTTGGAACGATTGGACACTATCCTGGGATGTAAAGGTACCAGTCCATGTGATCTTTCTCGACTTTGCGAAAGCATTCGACACAGTTCACCATGGTCTGCTCCTTCACAAAATAAGCAAAGCGGGTGTTTCTGGAGCACTTCTCGCATGGCTGGAAGATTATTTAGGCGAGAGAGAATTCTGCACCAAAGTCAACCGCATCCGATCATCCTGGCACACCTCGGCATCAGGGGTTCCTCAGGGTTCTATCTTAGGGCCGTTGATGTTTTTGATTTTTACCAATGACCTGCCCTGTCAACTGAATTGCTCTGCGCTTATTTACGCTGACGACGTAAAGATTTGGAGAGCAATAAACTCATCGGAAGACTCCGACAGATTGCAGGCTGACCTGCAAACTCTGGGAGACTGGGCTCTGGCTAACGGAATGCCTTTCAACTTAAAGAAGTGCAAAGTAGTGCAACTTCATTCCGGCAGGTCAGAGTGCAAATTACACCCTTGGTGGCCAGAACTTGAGTTGTGTGCCATCAGAACGCGATCTAGGCCTTATTTTAACAGAAAAGCTAGATACCAGTGTAAATTACACGAGGGACGTCGCCAAAGCTTACGCCACTTTACACTTTATGCATAGGCAACTGGGAGCTCTTACTCCTGAACTATTCCTAACGTTGTATACGACATACGTGAGGCCACTCCTTGAGGTGCATAATATCATTGCTCCTCCGCTACTCAAAAGGGATGCTAACATGCTAGAAAGTGTCCAGAGACGAGCGACAAAATGGGTGATCGGCCTCCGCAACAAATCATATGAGGAGAGACTGAAGAAATTAAGCCTTTTCACACTTAGTTACCGTAGTCACAGGGGAGACCTCATCACCGTCTATAAGATCCTAAATGACCAGGCCCACCCTAATAAGAGTATCCTGCCATTAAGTGATTATAGGCTTCCACGAGGTAACCCGCTAAGGATAGCACACCAGAGACCAAGGACTCGAGTGCGTTCACATTTCTTCTCGCTTCGAGTTTGCCGTCTCTGGAACGTTTTACCGGCGGCCGTAACTACAGCTCCATCTGTGGAGACTTTTAAGCGGAAGCTGGACAATCATGCAGAAATGCATGGTTTGTGTCTCAATGGCTTACCCTCTTAAAATTTGAAACCACATTGTCAATGGATAAGCATACAAGCTAAATCCCCACGACCCGTCCTGTCTTCTCCCACTGTACCGACTACTCTATCTTTTCTTTCTTTCTTTATTATTTCACTTATCTCAACGTATATTATCTACACTATAACCTATTATTATTACTAAACTTTTATGACTATACAGAATGACCAACGGGTGTTGGGTCAAACTCCATTCACGGCAGCAGCTGAGTCCTAACATACTGCACACTACAAACCACAATCTTGACCAATCCTCGCTTCACTCCTCTTGGAGTCTACCAGAGCTAAAGCAGTCGAGTGGCGGGATTTACTACGCATAAGTTCACCGAAGATCTGGAACCTCTACCTTACAATCAAGAAGCGAGCTCAAAGAAATCACTGGTTTATACTAGCTCGTAATCAGGATATTGGATATTGGATTCAAGGAACCGCCACTCATAAACTTGTTTGTGCGTGATATGAATTTGCGTCCTGGTGATGAGGGTATTGAAAAAGAATGTGAATACAGGTACATACAAATGCCTTATTATTTTAAAGGTACATTAACTCCCAGCTCGAAGCAAAAACTATGCACTTGTTAAGGGAAGCCGATGAAATATTGGTATTTTATGATCGTAAAATAAACTCAGTTTAAACATATTGAATTCATTAGGCTCACGGGGCTAAATCGACGAATGATGATTTATGTAAAGCGTCACTTCTAAACTCAGAACACTGCAGGTACCTCGGATAATCACTAATATCGCCGAAGTTCTTCACGTCAATCAGTTGATACTGTAGAACCGACATCTGAGTATCTTGATAAAGACAATCTAAACACTGCATCTGTTGATGAAGTTGAATACCGTGACGAGGTTAGTTTCGAAATTAAGTATAGATGTCAATAATGAGTGTATGTTTCAACAAATACGAGGGTATTCTCAAGCAGTTATGAAGAGAGGCACGAAAGTGATCACGGTTTCAAATTTAGATTAATTGGTTGAGGATAGAAGGCTTGGAGCCTATGTTAATCCCGTACTAGTACATTTCTGTGGTTGTCCAAACCCTTCTTGAACGAATCAGTTGAGGTTGCAGACACCACTTCTTCTGAGAGTCGGTTCCAAGAGTTTATGACTCGGTGTGAGAACCAGTACTCAACAGCAATATGATTTCTTCTTGTGTTTTGAACTCTCCTGCCATGTCCTCTAAGGTGTTCCGACCTGGTGGGAAGGAAAAGAGAGAATGGGTCAGGTCCGTACTCATTATTTAAAATTCTAAACATTGTGATTAAATCTCCTCTCTGCCTACGGTATGACAAGGAGAAGAGATTTAAACTGTCTAGTCTTTCCTCGTATGATAAGTTAGTCATGCCATAAACGATACGTGTTGCCTTCCTTTGAACCCTTTCTAGAGTGTGTGAGTCCCCTTTTAGACAAGGGCTGGCGGCCTGGATGCAGTTTTCCAGTCTTGATCTCATCAGAGATGTGTATAAGGAGGTGAACATATCTCTGGTGATTCTAGTGAAGGCTCTACGAATTGCCCATAATGACCTGAAACTACGTGCAGCCACCGCGCGACAGTGTGCTGTAGTTTTTAAGTCGTGGCTAACTATGACACCTAAGTCCGAGTGAGTCTGAACTGATGGAAGTGTAATTCCCTCTAGTTCGTAGGAGCTCGTGCTTGCTTGTCCAATGCGCATAGTTGCACATTTTGCCACATTTATCGGGAGCATCCATTCTATGGACCACTATGACAATTTTTTGAGGTCCTCTTGCAAATTGGACGTGTCTCTGTTGCCCTTCAGCTCTCTCCAAATTTTTAAGTCATCTACGTATAGGACCATAGGGGAGTTGGTGAGCTGAGATAACTCACTGATATACAAAATAAATAAGAGGGTTCCAGGTACCGTGCCTTGTGGCACTCCTCTACGCACTGCCGTCCAGGAGGAGAGTTTCGAGTTGATCCTAACCCTCTGCCTCCTATCTTTGAGGAATTCCCTCAGCCAGTTTAGTAATCTTCCCTTGATACCAAGACTTTCCAACTTCATGAGTAGTCTTTTGTGAAGAACTCTATCAAAGTCTACGAAGACGACGTCAGCCGGTCTTCTGTTTTCCTTTGATTTGACACAGCTTTCTCTTGCAGTGAGGAGATTTGACAGGCATGAGAGGTTTCTTAGAAAACCGTGCTATGCTCTGGATAATTATTTTGTTGTTTTCCAGATATACCAGGATGCTTTTTTCGGTGATTCTTTCCAGTGTCTTGATTAAAGTGCTGGTGAGAGTGATAATCCTGTAATTTGAAGGGCTTTGTCTTGATCCTCCTTTGTGAGTGGGAGTTACTATGGAGTCTTTCCAGTCACGCAGTAACACTCCATTTAGGAGAGAAAGCTTGAAGATCGTGGTCACAGGGACGGCTATGTGGACTGATAGCTCCTTGAGAAGCCTCGGGTGAAGATTATCAGGACCCATTGATTTCCCTGCATCTAGTTTCATTAGGCAGTTGAGCACGATGCCTTGGTCGATGTCAACGGGATCTATCCCGTATTCCTCTGATGCAGCCAGAGCTGATCCTATAGGCAGTGACGACTCTTGAGTGAAGACTTGGGAGAAGTAGTTTGCCATTGCTTCCGCTTTTTCTTGGTCTTCTTCGATTGTATCATTGTCAATAGTCAGGATTGGGACACCATTGGATGTTTTATTCCTGAAGTTCCTGTACGAGAAAATTTTCTTAGGTTGTGCCTTTGCATTTTGAGCCAGATGTGCTTCGAACTTCATCCTTGATTGGTGGATTTGTGCAATAGCTTTATTTCTAGCAGTGTAATTTGATTGCCTGGTCTCAGAAGTCTCAAGTGTGACAAACAAGTCCCGACATTTGTGTTTACGTCTGAGTAACTTACGAATCTTTCGGTTTATCCAAGGGGGGCAATGTTTCCGACCCTTTGGGACAGACCAAGGGATGAAAGGTTCAGTTACTTGGGCATAAAGTTGTTTAAATTGGTTCCATGAGGCTTCTACTTGAGACTCTGGGTTGATGTACCAGTTTACTGAGTTAGCTGCTGAGACGATTGCATTTATATTAGCTTTCGAAACATTTGGTCGAGCTGGGGTTTTGGCCCTAGCTGCTGTTTCTGTCAACTTGCAAGTGAGCACAGCATGATCACTTCTCCCTATAGGAGGAAGATGTTGTATGAGATCCATATCGTCACCATGGGAGGACACCAGGTCCAGAGTTGAGGAGGAGTGCTGTGAGTCATAGCGCGTGGGCTTAATGATATGTTGGACTAGGGCTAAAGATATACTAGATTCCAGCAGTTTATGATCAAAGGAGTTGACTGAGGATGGAGTTGTTAGGCTGGTCCAGTCAACTGTTGGTGCGTTGAAGTTGCCAACGATGATGATATTTTTTTAAGGAACCATATGGTTAATATTTCCTAGCGTTAATAATTGTTAGTTTCCGTTTGCTAAGTATGAAAGGGTACAAGAGGAGATGGAATTTGCACCGTAAGTCGGGAGTGCATTGGAATAGTCTACATGTTTATCATTATTCATGTCACCCCATGAAGTGAGTACTAGACACTTGTAAATGACCGGTGCCCACTGTTTCACAGCATTGTTGGTACATTTAGTTATCTGCCTGGACTATCAATACTGAATTATTTACTGCCTGAGGCATACCCTAGTGATAACTAGTGGATATCTACTTGTCATATGGATTGGCGAAATCTAGAATTGGTTTATGCGCGTTTAGTAGAATTTCAGTTGATTAATCGTTTAATTTTGTATAAGTCCTTAGGTATTTTGTGTGGCTAGACTTAAATGTTATGCCCTTCAACCTCCAGGCAATACAGTCGTAAGATTTAAGGTAAATGTGAGACGCATATTAACTGCATTCTTGCTGTATCGTAGAAGGCGCTTGGCATTCACATACTACAAATCAATTGTTGAATACTTTTCCGTACAGAACGGTCTCTACTTGTGCGTCCCTCATAAATCTCAGACTTATAGAGCTGATGACGTTTGAAATAATTGCAGTCAATACTAGATTTTCCTTCCTCGTGCACTAAAAATTTCTAAAGGACTTCTGGCTTTGCATGCAGATTTCATCATTTCAGCCTGCCTTTTATTTTTCAATTTATTTGCTATCTCAGTTTCATTAAACGATTTAGGCCCTATATCAACACAACATTTGAACTTTGACTAACCAGACAACAATTATTTTACATGGAGCCAGGCTGAACTGTTGCTCATTGTTTTGCTGCATCATTTAGTCACTTCTCGTTTGTATATGTTCTCATATGCCCGAGTACCTGGCTGCAGGTCGTGATTTTCATTGTTTTGGTTGTTGACTTGCACTTCTTCTTCCCATTTCCACGTAGCAGCTTTTTCACTTTTCTTCAGACTGTTAGTTAACTTTGAATCTGGTCCTGTTTGATGTTGACTCTTAGTTAGCTTTTCAGGATTGTTTGAAAATTGGACGATGATTATGTTCTAAACTGTAGTCTGTCTTTACTGTCACCCACTGCATTACTCGTTTTGTAGTGAGCCTTTTGTGTCAACTGTTAATTAATTATTCTATGCCCCTTTAAATAGCAGGTATACAGTTGATTTTTGAAAAGACAAAATAATGTATCATTTTGTATTCAATTTGTTGTCTTGATTGATACATTAGACTTAAAGTAACTTAGGTAAAAATTAAATGAAGTTGATCTGGTTAGAGAATAAAATGCATTAATTCTTCTTCCAAAATTTTAGCCCGATAAGAATGAAATGAATGACAGGAATATTCTTCCGGAAGCTGCTGCGGGACTAAGCTTAAAAGCTCAAAACCGATATTTGCAAGCGAAAGTTCGTGTTCTGTTGGAAGAAAATCAGAAGCTGAATTCACAAATAGCTCAACAGGTTTGTAACCATTTTTCTATTGTATATCATTTGTAGTAAAATATTCCCTATTTATAAGACAAAGAAAGGTCAGTTGAGCGAGAAATGTTTTCGATTACCTCCTCATTTACCACCCTTCTCTGACATACTGCACTTTAGAAAATAAATGCATAGCACACGTTAAGATGTTATTGTACTTCCACTTAACAAGTTTTTCGCTCATATGGGGCGGAAGTTATCGGGACTCATCTGAATGGTCTGCGCATGCGTTTGCGGAAGGTATTCGTACGGTTGCTTCCTTTGATTTGGTCATCCAAGTAACTTATCTTAGCCTTCATATAGATAAGTGTTCTTCCTCAATCTTAGTTACCTTACAAGATTTCTGTTCCCTAATTGGTGCCTTAATTTTCTTGGTTATTTTCCACCCTTTCAATATCATGTCAATAGACTACTATTAATGAACTTATTACAATTGGATTGATAAATTATGTTTAGTCCAAAAAAGCCATATATATATATATATATTACTGTAAAGCCATGGACGAATAGCTAATTAAAAGGGAATATATTGCTCTTATGCAGTTTATATTTTTTTAACGAGTATGATTTACGTATTATAACAATGATGTATGTGATGCATATTGGTTTTTTGGTTGGTTACAGTGAACTCCAATTTCTGATTGATTAGATTTCAGCTCATTTGTGATATTTATGCTTTTTTTAAACTTAGCTCACTTTCTGTTATCATTCTCCTCTTTTACAATGCTTACATACAGCAGTCAAAATGTATATGATAGTATTTTATATTATTGATTACTGGAATATGTATACACATCTTATTAAATGAAGTATATGTTCACTTGCAAGCAATCCAACCGTGCTTCTAGCAGTTGTAGTTCCTTCTTGGTATAACAGAGAAGATTTGTAGCTCATGTGGATGATTTGCAATTAGTTGTGTTCTCTGAGCTGGTTGGTTTAATTGCAGAGCTCTCGTCGTCCTTCTGTTCACCCAAATGTGTAGGATTGAAATATCACTTTTTTCATCTAATAATTTAATGGGAATAAAAGCCGTTGTTTTACTTGTCTATTTCTTATATGTTTGTACATATTAGGGAGGTATGAATGCAATATGCGCTTCAGTATTCACCTCATAATACGAATTATGAAAAATTGGTAATCGCAATGTGGAACCCAGTGGTTTATTATTTTTTTGAAGCTGGAACTATTTTGACTGCAGTTATTCTACATTCCTTCGGATATTTAACTTCAGATTTTTAAGTTTCTTGAGGAACAAATTATCATTTGGCTATTAAATTAAAACTCCATCTGTTGATATTCTGCTACTTCAGGCGTTTATTTTTACCAACAGTGCACTGGTGATGCAGCTAAAGCGTGCCACTATAATATGAAATGGACTTCATTTTTCATTCTATAAGAGTAGGAGGAAGAATCTAAATTCATCTTATTGTTTTCTAAAGACTAAGTTTTAACTACGGATGGTTTTGAAGCATCTCAGGTTTGTTTTATCAGGTATTTACTTGTCTGTTGTCGCCTATTAGGATTCTCGGAATTCATATCCTTGATGGATTTATTATCACACTGACCAGTCGGTATTTGGATTACTGATGTGGCTAACACTCCAGCAATTTGCAAACACTTAAGGTACCGCGCGTGCAGTTCAGTATTCATGGTGTTTAAAAAAAATAAACCTACGGATGGCAGATAAACTATTTGTAAAGACTTTTTGCTTTACTGTAGAGTGCTAAAATATCTGTTGTGTTGTGGAATTATTGGTTCTGCATACAGATTCAGTCTTCCATATCCATTTTCCTAAGGAATTTGTGTTATAACACGAGATAACCTTTTACCAGATTGTTTATAATTGTCTAAATATATATACATTGCTTTTCCACTTAGTTTTTCCTTTATTCTATTCATGGCTTCCTACAATCAATTTTATTGCCTTAGAATGAAGAAGGAGTCCGAATGAAAAATCGTATTCAAGAACTGGAAGATGAACGCAGTCGTTTGCATAGAGTTACATCTTCGCATTCGAATCAACTAGAGAAAATGAAGAAAAGTTTAAGCGAGACACGAAGTCATTGCAGTACTCTTGAAACAGAGAAGACTAATTATAAAAAAGTAAGTAGTTATTAATTGAAGGTTGGAAATTTTCCATGTCTTTTTTTTACTGGACGAACGTGATTGGTGGTTGGTTCGAATCCCAATGAGAAAAATACCACTTGGTTACTTGTTCATCCAGTTGGTATGTCCCAAATATGATGAAACACGGCCTCGTATCTTCACTGTGGACGGACCACTGTCTAGGAAAACCTAATATATGGAATTTTCGGAATTAATTTTTATTTTAATGCCACTGGTGGTTAAAAAGTCATTATTCAACGACTAGAAGAAAACGCAATATTGGTGAAGAAGTTAGAATGTTGTTTAAGTGTGAGTTCAGCAGTAGGTGTTCTGTTTTTAGTGGGGTTTCTAATCGGATCTCACTTACCACTTTATTTCATCGCAATGGCGCTAATTACTCATGAGTAGTATGTCAGTAAATAAGTTTTTCTTAAGGCTGCTTTTGTTATTCGAATGTCAATTTATTTTTAAAAAATGCAGAATGTCATTCTGATTTCTGTCTTATTCAACTTTTCCGTTTCTGATATATAAATTTCGACTTTTGCGTTATTACTTTCTGAGAGGTAAAATAATAACGCATTGAGATAAGATATACCTATTATTACTTTGATCGGGCACTAATTAGTAACTAGTGTAATGTGTCTAGTCCTTTATTTGGTGCAGACTGAGTTCTATAAGTCAAGTTTATAGTGTGGCCAGCATTCTGGCTGGCTCGCCATCGCGGTACACTTTGAATTGTTGATACTAGATGTTCGGAGACAGTCAGACATGATCACGTCTCTGACTGCAGCACTGGGTGACGCGTGTTGGAATCTCAGAAGAGACATGAGTTCCTACAAGATTGCAGAAACGCCTTGCTGACAAGTGCCAACTAGCACAAAACATAGTTGCAAGACTTCCTGCCGATTGCCTCCAACTATCTGATATATACCTATTATTATTATTATTCAGTTTTAAAGTCAATGATTTAGTTTATAGGCTCGAATATGGGGTGACACTTTCGAAAGCTGTATACAGTACTTTACATACATTGTGTATTACGTGGATTCATATTCATTTCATACAATCGGGACCACTTGCCTGTTTGTCCTATTGCGTGAATCATGTCTCATAGTTGTGTAGAAGTATAAACATTAAGTTAACGTTAGATATTTTTACTTAACTGGTGCGAAAATGCAAAGGTAGTGAATTAATAATCGCTTTATACTCAGTGAGAGAATAAACACCATTAGGCAAATTAATGTTAACAAGACTGTTACACAGTACAAAGAAGGTTTTCAGTCGTATACTGAGTTAATTTTCATTATTTCTATAATTTTAGGACTATGATTCAGTTAAACGTAGTTTAGATCAACAAGCTGCTGAAATTAAAGCCTTAACAACACGTTTGAATCGTGCAACTGAAGAATGCGATCGTTATAAAGCAGAGTTGGAGAAGGTTCGTTCATCTACTCGAGAAAATGTTGATTCCCTTCGTCATAATGTTGATAATTTAATGACTGAGAATAAACGATTAGAAAGGCAAAAAACTGAATTAATTGGAGCATTCAAAAAACAAATGAAACTGATTGATGTATTACGTAGGCAAAAGGTAATTGTCTAGTGTTAGTTTAATTGTTGTATAAGAGATGTTTGTTTTGATTAAAGTAATATATAATGTATATATCAGTACATAACCCATATATTGTTAATAATATATGTTACAAGTCATATATAATGTGTGGTGAGAACTATTGTACACTAAGACCAGATGGGGAGACAGATATAACTAGCTGGATAAAATATTTATCATTCTTCGTGATACGATAGGTTTGTGTTTTCACTATTCATAAATGTTTCGGCTACTTTTTACATTTGAGTTTTTAAAAACGTAATTATCTGCGTATAAGTGAGTAAACGGTAAACCTGCTATTGTTTTGTATCCGGAATAATGATTGCTTCCTCCATCATTCGGATAATGAAAATAAAGAAACATATAGTTATAGAGTCAATTTTTAATTACCGCCTGAATATATGTCCATAGTTTGGCATACTGAATATCGAAAATCAGGTTTTTGTTTGTCATGATTGCCATTTCCTGATTAGATATTACTATATTCTAAGGGTATATATTGCAGAAAATGTCCAGAAAATATGTTGAGCGTAAATATACCTCAGGATGGAAGGATGGTCAAATCAAAGCCCCTCTGTCTTACTTTAATGCTTCAGAGTTACAATCAGTGTTGTTGATAAAGTAACTTTGAACAAAAAAAGTGTTTGTTTGAATTCAGTTGCCTGGATCAGGTCTTTCGTGTACACCAGGCTAACAGTCACACTTATCATTGTGTGAAGGCTGATGATACTATCCAGTTGCCTAGGTTGAATTAAGTGGAGCGGGACTCGAATCTGTGGCCGGTTGGTTCTAAACCGAGCTCTTAAGCCAATGAGTCATATCTTCACTTGAACAAACCACGTGATGCTGAAAAATCATCTGTCAATGTTAGTTGCTTATGTCATATACTACTTTAATAATATTTATATTTATATTCTACATGATTCTCTAAATACCAGAGTTTGTAAGTAAACCACCTGCTTCGTGTAACCGAAGTGTAAATCTTTTGTGAGAGTAGAGGAGATCTTTTGATACATTCATCTTCATTACAAGGCTGTTAAAAATGATCAGAATGTTTGTGAGTTATAAGGAATACGTTGAATGGGACTTCTGACTTCGCAGATAAATTTCTCCACAACTACTACTGGGTCATAAGTTTAACTCATTGACGTAATCACTTGATACTTTTGGATGAAATCAGCTTTTCTATTGATAAATCTGATGCTATGCTTTGCAGTGTTATTGTTGTATTAGTTTTACCTCTGTAATTCAGATGCAGTGCTAAGTACATATTAAAATACTTCATATCTAAATATCTCTCTACAAGATTGTTTGTATTTAGTAAAAACGGCTTTATTTTGCATTCGGGTGTTTAAAAAGAATAAATAGTATCACGTAGTTCGTTAACCTTTTTTGGACATACTGACTTTAAGAGTGACTAGAAAGAGATTTGATCAGTTTACCTTGTAGTGTCAAAGAAGGAATCGTGGTCGTGTCTACTTGATATCTACTAGTTTATCTTGACTTCTCAACTTTAAGTGACTAACCTAATGTGTCTTAAGATTGATCCATGCTTAATTAATCGAAATTCTCGTTGCTTGAGGGTTATTAGTGCTAAAATAAGTTGATGTCAGGCTAAAGGATGAAACAGCAGTGTTTATTGTACCAGTGTAGAACAACATTAGAGTGATGTTCTTCGGAAACAACAGATGTCTTCAACCGTCCTACCTTTTAACTTTTGGAGGAATGAATTCAAGGTCGACTAGCTCCAGAATAGTTCTACCCTTCATTACAATCTGTATATTAATTCATTCGGTTTTCTAAAGATTTGAGCTTCAGTATGTTAGTTCAAGATTTTACAGTAGCATGCTCAACTCTTTTACCTACCTGGGAAGCATCGTTTCAACTACAGGCGGAACTGACGAGGATATCAAAGCAAGAATCGGAAAAGTAAGACAAGCTTTCACTACTCTCAAGTCTGTGTGGAAGTCAACAGCACTCAGCATCAAAAATAAGATCCGGATTTTCAACTTCAATGTGAAGTCAGTCAGTGCTACTATACGGATCAGAGACTTGCACTGCGCGTCATAAAGAGCACCTCAAACAAACTGCAGACCTTCATTAACAGTTGTCTTCGCTCAATACTCAAGATCACATGGCCAGCCACAAAACATCAGCAACAGTGATCTCTAGGAGCGAACCAACTCAGCAGGAACTGATTGTGCAACAAATGAGCAGGAAGAAATGGAGATGGATTGGCCATACTCTGAGGAAACCATCAAGTGACATCACTAGACAAGCCATCGCTCGAGTGGAACCCGAAAGGGAAGCGGCGAGTTGGTCGTCAGTGCGAAGGTGGGGTGACTTGGAGGAGGTCATGTGAAGAGGAGATGAAAACGTGTGGGCAGACATGGAGCCAGATGAAGACTCTAGCAGCGAACCGAACGCGATGGAGACGCACGGCTGAAGCCCTATGTTCCTCTAGTAATTAAAGGATACAATAATAATAATGCTCAACTTTGTTTGAGTCAAAATTAATTTCATATATGCCTTCCAAGGTTATGTTATTGTTGACCATCTAAGTTTGAAATACGGAGGTACTTTTGAGATAATGTTAAAGTAGTACCGTGATAGAAGTACTTGAAACAATTCACTCTGTGTGTGTGTGTGTAGCTAAGCAGACTTAGCCGAGCTCATAGGTTTACATTTTTATATTCTTTAACTGACGACTGCACAGACGTGTTCTACAAAGACCTAGTGAAAGCACTCTTTTGTGTTCTTATTTTGATGTCATTTTTATATTTGTATTTCTCTCAGATGTTAATCGAAGCGTCGAAATGCTTACAAATCACTGAAGAAGAATTTCTAAAGGCTTTGGATTGGTAAATTGCAGACATTTTGAATTCTTCTTGCATTATACTTAAATATAAAATACTTTCAAACTGGTGATTCGTTAGTTGTGAACACACTGAATATGTAACCAACCAATCATATCATATCGTATCACTTACAGTTATATTTATTGTTTTTTATTTGTTCATTTTAAATTCAACTAAGTTGTACTGCCTTTATTGTAGAAAATATATTTTTTTTTTCGTATAGAATATTTGTGTGCTCAATTCTTCTTGTGTTGATTGATTATTGTTGCGTATAACTCTAACTGTTTAAGTTCTTTTTATAATAACTTTAAAATTCACGTAATGGTACAGAAATGGCGTGCAACAAAGTGAATCGGTTGTGTTGTTGATGGCTACTATAATATTTTTACAAATCTTTGTCCCTTTAGTCACCTCTGCATTTTCTGGTTTGTCCAACTGGTTATACTCGTAGGGTAAAGAGTTTCATTTATTATTGCTCTGAAGGTGATTTCCAGGGTGTGATCTAAAGAGTCACTAATGTTAACTTCAGTTCAGCAACAGTATCTTTGATTGCAAATATGTTTTATTTATGCGTGTCATTTACCAGATAACTTTTGATACGTCATGGCTGTAAATTCTTTCACTCCTTTGCGTTGTGAGTGAAACGTAAGGCTTCAAGGTTCAGCTTCGATGTTTCAGTAGAGGTGGAGTTTTTATTAAGGGATGAGGTTGCTGGCCTCACGCCAAACTTTCCCTTTTACCGTACTTAGTACTGGTTAAGTAAGGTTTAGGTGTAGTTGACCAGCATCCTAGCACTGAACCACCGACCTACTATGACTGTCAATTATTGTTATTATTATTGTTCCCTTGGGTTCCTAGTGGAACATAGGGCTTCAACTGCACGTCTCCGCTTGTTTCTGTCTTCTGCTGTTCTTTTCACCTGCATCCATGTTAGTACATACTGTTTCAACTCCTCTTCACACTATCTCCTCCATGTCACCCTTGGACGTCCCACTCGCCGTTTTCCTTTCGGGTTCCACTCGAGCACTGGCCTGACGCGCGATGTCACCCAACGGACTCCTCAGCGAGTGTCCAATCCATCTCCACTTTCTCCTGCATATATGTTGGGCGAAAGTGGAAAGTGTCAATAGGGAAATTAATTCTGCTTGTTATTCAAATAAAGCAGCGTATAAATTTGGAAATCTAGTAGATCTGAAAACTAACTAAGATTAAAATTATACGAATTTGTTGAAATCACTGAGTAATTTTCCAGTTAGCTGCTGTCATGAGTGGAATAAATGAACTTTTCCGCCAATAGACGGACACTTCTAAGTATTTTGAAAAATTATTTAAATATACCGACATATCTGATCGTAACTTCTTCGTCTATAATAGAATATTCATTGATGTGTAAGCAAGGGGCAAAAACAAAATGAACTTTGAATGTTTAGTTACCCAACCTATATGACCCACTTTGACTCTGGATGTGGCTATATGTACACCAATTAGCAATTGGGATTGGCTGGTGAAGGAAATATGGTTTAATGATTCTGTATCACTGAATTAATGTCATTGTTATACTTGATTTTCAAAAATATTATTTTTCCTTTTACAAAACTTGAAGGTGTAAATTGAACACATCCATAATGTACTGTGAACTGGTTTTGTACTGTACGCGATCATAATATATGATATCTTATGTACCTAGTGCGTGTATCACTTACTTAACTGATTTCATATTCTATCTAGACCAGACGTCATTTTATTTCCTGATGCCCGAAAATGCTCTTAGAGCGGTGTAAAAATGTATTTGATGGTTAGAAAATAGCACTAAAAGAATGTCAAGTTGTTGATAGCAACCAATGTATGTTGTCTGTCTCAATTTTCTTTTCCATAATCATATATGACAGGTAAGAGTACAGGTGGTGCGAAATTATGCTCACGCAAGTGTCTTAATCTCAATTTTTGTTTGGTTGCAAAGCTACAGACAACCTCTTAGCCTACGAATAAACTCATCATCGCTATTGGAAGACGTCTAACAACACCATGTTTTTTAAATGTCGGATTTTCTTGTATAGTCGTATTAGAGATTGGAACTTCTTTTTCTTGGTTACATTATTTCATCATGAGCTGACATCAGCTACAGAACCATTGGAAAACCTGGGAGTACTGGACAGCTGCTTCGTCCTATTTGGGACTCTTCATCAGCTCTCACCCTCCCCTACACGGTTCGAACCCAGGACCTTCTGGTTACAAGGCGAGCTCGTAGACCATTAAGCCACTGGGACCCGATCCAATGATCCATGAATTCTTTTTTATTCATTGTTATACTAATGTTTTTGGGTCAATCTTTTTTGCCGTCTTCGTTTATGGTTTTTTCCTAGTAGTCTTATTAAGTACACTAGTCTTTTTCTGGAGTTATTTTAAGTATTGCCATAAAAACTCCTTGTGTTAATTTCTTAAGATTAGCTGAGACTCTTCGGTTACCGGTTCAAATCCTGTTCCCCACTGATGTATTTTGCATAACGTTCACATCGTTTGGTATTTGTATACTTACGTCATCCATATTTATTTTATAAGGTCAAGTTAGTGGGATTAAAATGCACATATGAAAATTGCAGTTGGTTGTATTATTCAATGCATAGACTATTAGTTCGCTAGCCGTTTCTCTATAGTTGTAATTCTCTGTTGTATCCACATTGTCATTAATTACGTTAAATGTCATGAAAAAAAGTAGTTACAGACAAGCACTATCCGATTCTTCTTATTTCTTAACGTCAGTAGTTGTAGAATGATGAAAATTGAAAAACAGTACACCTTCCCTGGAGTTTTCAGCTTTACAATGCACTTTCAGAGTTTTTGAATAAGTGTTTATCAACTGACATCTAGAGATATTTACGACTTCTTTTATTAGATGTTCATTGATATATTTATTATCGTTTCATTTACAATTCCATCGTACAAATCTTCAATTTCAGTTTGCATAGCTTAATCATACGTAAGTGGCAGGTTTAATTGCTTCCTGTAAGTTGCAAAGTTATCGAATATGTAATTCCATATTAGATAAGTTTATTTTAAATATCACTCAGTGATGCAGTATTAATAACTAGATGACATTTTGAGCACAATTTCGTTGCTCATAATCATATCAATTTAGTCACACAGTTTCACAATTCGTCTTATATATATTTTTTCTCTCTTTCTGTTTCTCCAAGTTCTGTTTGTTGCCACTTTCCATATCTCCGGTATAGGTGGTATAGACATGGAAAGTGGCAACAAACAAAAAAAGGAAGTTGAAGAGATAGAAAGAGAGAAAGTATAGATAAGACAAGTTATGAAACTGTAGGACTAAAATTGATATGATTATGATTGGCAGTAATTTATGCTCGAAACCTTGCCATTCAGTTGTTAATACTGCATCACTGTGTGATATTTAAAATAAGCTTATCTAATATGCAGTTACATTCTACCATAGTGCCCAAGTTCTACACTTACATTATCGAATTTGTTTTTTGAAGTTTACTTGGCATAATTTTATGACCTTCATCTTACTTCTGAATGATTAATACAATCAATAGTTTCATATATTAATGGCGGTACATCTTGCTACAGTATTTACATATGAGAATACGTTAGCGACGGTAAAAACCAGTGGTTGGAAACAATTGGTGACATGGCTCAAAATCGTTCTCAATGGCGCAGATGCATCCACTCCTTGTGACTTATGATTTCCAATTAAACTGTTTTTTCTCTCCGTTATTACTATACCTTTGTCTCACACCTCTGTTTACTGTCTATATTATGCATTTCTCCTACTTTCTTCTCTTGCTTTGTGTGCTACATGGAGTGTGGCGACTTGAACTGCCGCACATATGTGCAAAGTTCTATGTCGAAAACAGACAGACAGATCACGTTAGCATATTAGTCATGTAAAAATAGAATGTAACGTGATGTTTATGTGAATATTGTGTTGAGTGTGATGTCTTTCGCTTTACTAAGAATGCGCCCATGTTGGCAGTAGTATTCATCAACGACTGATGAGATTCATTCCACTCAAAGTCAATGTTGTTTTGCTTTCCGAGTGAAGTTTCAGTAATAGTACTGCTTTTACCCAACCTTTCGTCTTATCTTGTCTAACAACCGGCTAGGTGAGGTTTTGAGAGTACGTACGTCTTCTGGGAATCTAACTGGTTGGCAAGCATTCGCTGAACCATCTGCCAATTAGAGCTTATGCTGTATATGTATTGTTAGCCTCCGCTTCCCTCTGTGGAACAGTTCTAAAATAGTTGTCTAAGTAATACCTTATGAATTTCATATATTTTAATGGAATTTTTTGTTGTTGAAGAAACCATAACGAAGAACATAATTTACACGTCTAAATTGCGATTCCATGTTTTCTCATGTTAATGTGTATAGTTTACCGTACCTCATAAATTCTAGTCAACAAGTATGTGTGAACTAAAGTACGCGTTATTCCTAGGCATGCACAACCAGTCTTTCACTTTTATTTACTATCATAAAATCCATTTCTTTTCGGTAATTATTACTATGTAAAATTATTAAAATTTTAATTTTGCAGAAAATTCGATGCCTGACACTGAGTTGCTTCAAGTTGACTCAAATAATACAGTCCCAGATGTCTTGGCGCCCGAAACCTTAATTTATCAAGGAGCCGAAGCCAGAGTTTATCGCACTAAACTATTCCGTTCAACATATACTTTTCCATGTATTGTAAAGGAAAGATTTGTAAAACGATATCGCCATAGTACACTGGACTCAACCTTATCTATGCAACGAATGCGAGCTGAAGTTCGACAATTGTTACGTTGCAGAGAAGCAGGCATAGACGTTCCACCTATACTTCTAGTGGATATTCGACGTCGTCGAATTTGGCTCGGTGAAATAGGTCCAGATGCTGTTACACTACAAGACTGGTTTAAAACCTTCTCCACTCGGGCTATCGAAACAGACCTATCGGATGGAGATCTTCAGAAAGAAACAGTTTCACAGCTACGGGATTTAGCAACAGCCCTGGGACGATTGCTTGCTCAACTACATTCTAATCACATAATTCATGGTGACTTGACGTTGGCTAATATTCTTATTCAACAGGTAATTTCTGTATTATTTTTTGTTGTCTATATTGAGACCTGTCAAGAGGATTACAGCCAATTGGCAATATTCTCTAAACTTATTTTATCCTGTAGGTATATGTACATGTATGTTGAATGTCTTCACGCGTTAACTATTTCTCTCAGA